CATACTCCCTCCTCACCTCCGCACCATTTAGCACCTGCACGACTCTCCAAATCTTCGCTCTTAGAAGTGAGGAGCCGGGAAAGAGCCTCTCGGCATGACAGCCGCAGAGGGGCGAAAACAAAAACACACACACACAAAAAAAGGCAGAAATCCTCAAGCTCGTAACATTTGTTTTTTTTTGTTTTTTTTTGTGTATAATTTGCTCTGACAGTGATCTGTGGCTGTCTAGAGTGTCTTAAAAAAATGGGAACCTGCCTTGGGGGGTGGGGGGTTGGGGGTGGAGCAAAATGAAAAAAAAAAAGGGGAGGTGGAAAGCTCCTGACGGACACATCTGAATGATCAAAAAAATCTGTTTAGCAAGAAGGTCTCTGCCAAACATCCATTAAACAGATTAATGTCATGTGAGGGGATCAGCTGGACACCCAAATATAAGCCAGGGACACAGAAAAATGACTGTCTTCCACAGAGAGGAGGCTGTGAACAATGGGGCCTCATTTATAAAGAGGAACGTGATCCAGTGCTGGGAGGCTTCAGACGGCTGACTGTCCGACTGCGATTGTTCTGTTTCTCTGCATGTTCGGCTGCTTCCAGTGTCCACTGAGCACCAGTAGGGGGTTCTCACTGACAGGGTGACGGCCAGGGTCACGCTTGGAGCATGAATGCCGTTCGATGGGGTCGCTGCCGCAGCTCCTACAGGTCCCCACTCCTGTCCACCCTGTCAGTGTGTGGTCTGCCTTGTCTTTCCCTTCTCCCCTTCAAGTGGGCGTCTTTGTGTCCATAGTTGTGTCTGAATGTCTGAGACGCAGGTGTTGTTAGCCAGCTTCATCCTTCTCCTAGTCCTCATCACACACACCCTTACACACTCACCCCTCCTGTACCTCCATAACTGCAGCCGCGTCCACTGGGAGACCGGTCGGTGATGCCACTCATGTGTTAACATCGCCATGGCAACTCCACTCTTCCCCTTGCCCACCACACCACACACACACACACACATACACAGTACAAGGCCCACACCCACCATAACAGCAAGACGCAAACACACATGCAGAGTGAATTCCTTGGACTGAGACCGGAGCAGGATGAACCTAATCCCAACGCCCCACCGACCGTGTTTGAAAAGTCCACACCGGGTCTAGGGTTTGAATTTGGTCAAAGTCTGCAATAGCTTCCCTCTGCCGCTGCGTTGGTCTGGTTGAAGGGGCCTGATGGGAGGAATATCACAGCTGAACAAGCTACAATGACCTCCTATCTAGGTCTTTGTCCCAGCAAACCAGCGCTGAGGCCTGCAGGGTGAGATGAAACGGTGCATACCTGCTGCCCTCCACCTGGCTGGCCCAGCAGGGTCGTCCGATGGAAGCCGTCGCGCTAATACGAGCCCCTCGCCATTCCTACTTTCCAAATTTCAGCCCAGATGAATGTCACACACACTAAAGAAAAATGTGAGTCATGCATCCTTTTACATCGCTTCTAATGAATAACTCCCTCCGCTGCATAGCCGAGACCACAGGCCCTTTTAAAAAGGTTTAAGGCAAAAAAAACAATGAAAAAGATGGCGGCACGGCGCCCATTGTACTGTCCATCTTAAAATGGCTGACATTGTAGCCCCTTTATAAAATGCCAAAGCCGGGCACATGCCAGCTCCTGCTCACCAAACCTTTCTTAGATGGGACAGAGAAAAGAGGCAGGGGCTCTTCCACAACCACCTCCACCCCCCCATTAGCCTCAAGGCTTTTTTTTTTTTTTTTTTCAGAGCGCAAACATTTCTTTTGGTTGGAACTATGCAAACATGCTGGTTTAGTGAGGCTCTTGGAGCAGCCTCGGCTTCGATACGGCATTGGTCCGACGACAAAGGCAACACGAAGAGGGATAAAAGACCCAAATAAAAGCGAACTTTTGTAGACTGCCGTCCTTTCAGGAAAGGGGGGAAAAAATGAGACCCTATATTTTCATTTGGAGGATTTTCTGCAAAAATCTGTTTGAATAAAAACAGTTTGAAGATCCAGTTGGCATTAGACTGTAGGTTTTTTCTTTCCTTTTCTTCTCTGAACTCAAGGAATTTTATACACTCCATGTCGGCTAAATCTGCAAATCATGACCATATGACCCTCTCCTCTGTATTCTCTGGCATGGGATTCATTCTGAGCCGTGGAAGCAGACAAAAACATACCTTCTGTTGCTGTTAGGAGTCGGAGCAGCATTATTCCAGGAATATGAGCAGTGGCATGTCGTTGGTAGGGGAATGGGAACTCTTTGCCCGATGCATTTTGTGTCTGTATACAAACACTCAGCCGGGGCCATGACGAAAACTATGAGCTGTGCCTAATTGCAGGGAGTGCAGGATGAAAAGCAATATGCCTGGCCTCATTAGAGCAGTTCCGAGAAGGGAGATGGTAGACTGTTCCCAGGGATCCACAAAAGGGAATTGACATTCCCCCAGTGTAAGCGCCCTACCGGAGTGAAATAAAAAAAACAACAAAACAACAAACCTACACACACTGAGCTCACTGGGGCTGAACTGAGCACACATGGTCTGTCAGAGCGAAACAGTCAGAGCTCATTTCTCTTTGTTTTACTGGACATCGTGCACTCCTGCAAATTAGCTATCGGAGAATAGAAAGCGCCCGACGAAGAGCGAGCTGCAGCCCGGCACAGCTGGAGTCCGAAAACACCTACTTCAACAGTAGCACCTCGTCAACAGAGAGATAACTGCAAAGTCATTTCTGTGACCTACATTATATACATGGAAGGCTTACACAATTAAATAATTAAGACACTTCCCAAAAATGGTCGCTGATTCACGCTCATCAGGCCTCCCGCTTGAATAACTCGGGGTTGTCTATTGAGCTGTGGAGATTGGAGCCACACAATTCACAACGGACGCATTAGTCAGCACCCTAAGGCAGAGGGAGACACATGGCACCCAAAGCTGTGTCAATATTTATGTGCAGATACGAATCGACTGCCTCACTGGTAATCTTCAGTTTCCAAAATATCTGCAGCCTTTCTTGCATACAGCCCGAGGTATGACAGAAATCTGTGATTTCTTAGGCCCTCCTTATTAAAAAAAAATGCAATTGTCTGCATGCTTAAATAAAAACAAAAAGGGTAATTCTTTAAAAGCTGAACTGGTGTTTCCTGCTATGTGCTCTGCAGCTGTTTATAAGCAGATCAAAAGGAAGTATCTAAACATGAAATATCATATCAGTATTTAGAACAAAACATGAACTCTGCCCCTCATCGTTAACTCAATAATAATTTCGACTGGAGTGGCGGCTCGCCCAGAGTGCCTTTTTGTTCTTCTTAAGCATTACGACAAACTAAGATGAAAAGAACTGCAATGTAAAGACTGAAACCTGAATTGAATTATTTTTACTGATAAATAATGAAGGAAGCCTGATAACGGAGAAAAGGAGAGTTACTTTGGGCACTATTCATCCAAACACCACCTCTGTGAAATATACCAGAAGTGGGCTCATATAGAGGGATCAAGCCTGGGCATTTTTAAATCCAGTACCTTTTGGATTGACTTTTAGAAAAAATGTTGCATGCTGATAAGATATTCAACCCGTTGGATGGACACCTACTGTAATAACAGTGTAATTGATGATAGCACCTGATAAATGGTATATTACCGTGTTGGAAAGAGTAATAATGTAAATCCGATTTAATTGTATTGTGCAGCACAAATCCATGAAATACAAGATTTAAAAAAAAAAAAACATTTTACAACATTTTGGATATAATTAATGCTTGAATTTTTTTATTTTGTTCCAACAGCAGCCTATAAAAAATATCAATAGCTTATATTGATATATTTTTGAAAATGTATTATGATTTACCCAACAATAACTTCAGTTGCTTCAGTGGCCTGCAGTTGTTTAGGGGCCCCCGACCTCTTAGGGGCCCCGTCATTAACACCTGGTTGGCCCACCTACGCAATAGTGAACTAGGACATCTCTTTGCAGATGCAATGGTGCAAAAAATTCCTCTTAAACCCACCTGATACAGTGTGGACTGACCGGACCTTATTTATACCCTAACACATGTCAGATTTCAACATGATGTTGAGCCGTTTAAACACGACACCAATAGCAAAGCAGACAGTGGTACTTTTAATTACTATGTTAATAACTGTATATAGTTGGTTAAAAATACACTCATATAATATGTTTCAAACTGCAATAAAGATCTTAAAAGAACAATGTAGTTGAGTATTATTTTTTACACTACAACTTGGAATTATGGGTAATTCAGAGGGTAGGGGATGAGGTGTTGTACTTCATATGGGGCCCACCCAGATAATGTTGCTTTATTGTTGTGTCGTTACGCCATTGGCCTCACATAATGTTGGACCGGCCCTGTGAGTGCGCGCATGGCAGCACATGTTGTTAGGAGGAAGAGAAGGAAATTAGGAAAGCAAATGAATCCAGATATAAAGGGCTAACCTTGTGATGTGAGGGAGAAAGTAAGGAAGGGTGAGAAGGAAACGGTCTGAAGCGTGTATGAGAGGGGAACGCCTGCTAAAGCGCCCTGTTCAAAAGTCTTTCACAACTAGGAGCGCAGTGGAGAAAACACGGCGCGTTGTGCAATAATATAAGCAGATACGCCACATAGTATAGAGAGAGAGCGCAGATCCAGCAGGACTGGTAGGGGGGTGGGGGGGTATGGAGCCCAACTATAACAAACTGCCGAGTTAACCCGTTTCAGTCCGCTCGCAGGGCTGCGGGGCAACACAGCGCCTCGGAGCGCAGCGCTACATATCACCTTATATTCCCCAAAATCCTCCACTCCCCCTTCCTCCACCGACTGTCGCCATTTTATACATTGGCGACTTGATATGTACTGGCTTCACCGCGGAGCCGGCTCAAGATTTAATATTCAACAGCAACATATAAATTCAATAAACAACTTTGGAAACGCGGGGATATACCGAGGTGCGTGTCTGCGCGCGCGTTAGAGAGCGTGCGTCCGTGGGCTGAGAGTGGTTGAGTCCTTACCTTGGCGGCGATGGGAAAGATGGAATCCGACATTAATACATAAATGAATTATTTTTGGCTCCGCTCGTTTCGCTTTGAGAGGAATGAGAAGAAGGAGTCGAGTCAAAAAAAAAAAAAAAAAAAGGGGGCGGCAGCTCTCCTCAAGTAAACCCGGTGAACTGGCGTGAACCCGTCGGTAAGGTATGTTACATTGCACTACCTTCTCCAAACGCCGTCAGCCCCACTGTACGAAAAAAAAAAAAAAACTCAACTATGCTCGGCGGCGCAGGACGAGGGAGCTCCAAAAATTATAGCGAGTGTATTTCCTATGAACACGTGACGCGGAGCGTCATCCAAAATCCAAAAGCCCTTTCATCTAAAAATTTTGGAAAGGGGCGGGGGGTGAGATGGGGATATAAGTGTGTCTGTGTGAGTGAGTGCTTGTGCATAAAAAAAAATTAAAAAAAAAGGAGGGTGCGCTGGTTCCCAGTGAACATTTTGGTTTTTCTTAACAGCAGTGTAGACAGATTTATTGTCTTAATTCGGAATCCGATCTTCATTCGCGCGCTCTGAGCTTCTCCCATCCACAAATCCAATTAATTAAGTCACATGCGTTTCCAATAGATATTTGGGTAGAAGAAGGTTCTTGAACCACTGCATGGGCTGTGCTGTATCGCCGGGTTGGGAGATGTCATTTAAAGCACATGCCTGTACCCACCGGCTCAGATGAACATTTTTACGCACACGCGTAATTATTTGAGAGCAGATTTGAGCAGATGTTCCATAACCGTAGCCCGTTTGCCGGTGTGTGCGTGTCTGAACGCAGGAGGATAATTTCCCTGGAATCAAATTAGAGCTGCTGTACTGATGCGCGCTTTGTAAAATATTATTTGTGCGGATGCGGCCCTCATGACCCCGCTGGCCTCTCTGTGCGTAAAAGCGCTTAGAGAGGAGCGCGCGGGCTCCAAAAAACACAGGAACTAAGTGGGATTAATGTATATTAGGAAAAACGAAAAAAGATGGTGATTCAAATTGAGCTGAATTAAATACCGCATCAGGTAGAAACTGAACAGTGTTTTTGGTAACACGGTGTAACAATAATATTCTGAAAGCCTAAAGTGTTCTTTCGCCCATCTTTCAAACATATATTGATATCACTGATATATTAAAGTGTAAATCTACACATGGATCTTATGTGTAACAAGTGGGTGGACTCTACTGGCCTACCCAGAGGGCCTCTGTGCAGGCAGCATAAATAAACTCTGAGTAGAAGAACACATGGGACCAATAGTTCTATACGCCTCCAGTATCACAAAAATGGATTTACTCTGCCTTTCCATTATGTCCTTACCGGATTCAGAAGTTGCCTCCAGCTGTATACAGCCAGGGAGGGGGGGTGGGGGTGGGGGGGATGAATTATCTATGAGCCAACTGAATCACCCACCATTAAAGAAAAAAAAAACACACTTTGGCTAAACTGTAGAAGAGCATGACCTGGCGAATGGAGACAATCATGTGAGGACTCCACAGAAGAACGGGAATACAATGATATTCACATCTCCTAAAGGTGTGAGAAGCTGGTGGAGTGTAGGGATGGCTTTAATATTTACCTCAATACCTGGTTTGACCTGAGTAGTTTAAAAGAAAACAAAAAACAATTATGTTTTTTTTATATAGCCTAATAAAGCACTCCACACATTAATCAAAACAATGTAATAAGTCAACCTCAAGATAGCTCCTTTGATATATTTTGACATGTTTATGACCCGATCACTGTAAGTTTGTAGAGCTTCCCCATTCTTAAATAAATAAAGGCATTTCTTATCTTAATTTGAAGAAATTTCACCTATTTTTACAAAATTTTACAAAAATGTGCATGTTCTTAGGTTTCTTTTGCCCATCATTTATGTTTAGCCATCCTGACACTATGAAGCCTCCATAAACACATCAGTTTTATATCTTTTCTAAGAACAATGGCCTTCTAACACACATCCGGGGAATTTGGGTGTGAGCTTATTCCCCCTGTTCTCTTTATGTACTTTTGTTTACTTTTTTAAATATTTAGTAAATTATATTTACTTTTCAATAGAAGATGCTATAATTCTGTCCAAGGGAAACTGTTTATATGGCTCATCACTCATGTTCAGCTCAGTCAGGTTTAGACCCAATTTCATTGAGAATCATATAGCATAGAGGGAGCCCTTAACACTGCAGTCTTAAAATTGTATTGAAATTTGACTATTTTTGAAAAAAATATATTAAATATTTTTTGTAAATAAAAGCATTTAGCACTTGCTATCATCTGCTATGTATGTATATTCATACATTTTTACATGTTATTACATTTTCAAGATTCTTTTACTTCCTTTTAAGTATTTCAGCAGTCTGGCACTAAGTTATTTTACTCACTACTGTTCCATTTGCAACATGCCATATAAATGAAACTATATGAACAGAATCCAAGTGGATTATATGTTTTTGAATAAAAATCTGTCTAGACCCTTGTTTGCTTTTTCTGTGGAGCCTTTTGTCCCGTAGTTTGAGTTTAAATTTGTTGTTAACTGCTTATAAAAAACAATATTTGACTGATGTGACATTTCATGTTTAGCCTGCCTGACAAGTTCCATGTCTCTGTAAGAAGCCAAAGTAAACACCCCAATTAGATGCGATTTTCAGATTCTGACTAAGTGGTGGCTTTTTATGCGTGCAAAAATACAGGGCTTTGACAGTGACATCAGCTTTGTGCTGATATTTTATTTTATTTTTTTGTGAAATCTTTTTTTTTTAAACAATGTTGAAGATTTCATTTAATGGTGAGTACAAAAGGGTAGACTTTCAGCTCACCTTTTAAGATTCCTGGCAAAGGTTTTAAAATCCTACAGGGCTACCAGATAACCTGAGTTATCGTATAGAGCACAACAAACCACTCCCCTCCCCTGCTTGTTGCTGCTTTCTCTGTACAGATTTTACTTCCCACTTTCAAGTTCAGTTATTTCATGAATATTTATAGTGTTTAAACTAAATAAGTCTCACCATCATTCCTATTAGAGTGATGCTGTTTTTTTTTTCCTCCAAAATCAAAAGGGCTAAATATTATTGATGACCATAATGAATAGGGTGTTATATTTCTGTAAGAAAAAAAACTAGTTTTGAGTAACGGTACTGTATTATCTTGTGGTTATTTGTTACAATGTTTGACGAAAAGAACTTTCAACTTTAGGTTATCAAACACTAAAAAATCAGACATTTTTCTGACCTGGCAGTCCCTTTAAAGCTTAGAGCAAACCACAATGCTTTTATTTAATCGCCTGCTCTAGTTCATTCCACATGATACATATACACGTAATTATTACACTTTGATTCAACCTTGCTTTGAATTTTTCTTTACAGATAAGTATTTTCTTCAAGCCCTTATAGATTTGTCGCACAGGTTAAAAGAGTCAGTCATGCGAGAAAGCGCGGGAACTTGACTTCTTGGAAGAATTGTCAGAGTGAGAGGTCTTACACTCTCTCAGTTCTTTGCACGGAAAAGGAGGGAGTGTAACAGTTTTGTTTGCCTCCAAACGAGCCAATGAGAGCAGTCAGAGGTTAGACTGACAGGTAAATTAGCCAAACAGAGATCGTCATTCAAGGTATGCCAGAGTCCACTATCCAATAGAGAGGCTGGATGGGTAGAAACTGGGGAAGTGACAAAATACAAAAATTTTCTTCCAGAAGGTGAGAACGTTACCTGTGCTGCTGTTAACGGGGGGAAAGAAAACGAAGTCCCAGGTAGCGATGGCCCTGTCGCAGGTTTTAGACGACTCGCCGTTGAGGCTGTTTCAAAGACCCCCCGTGAACGACGGTCTTAACCCGCAGGAGGTCTACAACGAGAGACACCGGCTGGCTTTGGAGGAGCTTCTCTCCGGGGGGGTCGACAGCTTCCTGGATTTTCTCAGGAAGGAGAAGATCCCCAACTTTCTGTCAGATGATGAGATCCAGCGGATTCGGAGCACCGCGGTTCAGCCGCCGCGGTGCGCGTCATTCCACGGGGAGGATCCGGAGCAGCAGCTCGGCAGCTCCATGGACTGTTCCTCGGTCACTTATTTTCCCGAAGTGTCCGACGTGGAGCCGCCGCTGCTGGAGATCGGATGGCCGGCCTTCACCGCAGGCTCCTACCGGGGAGTGACGCGGGCCGTGGCTCACTTCCAGCCCAGCTATGGAGAGTCCATCTACGCCTGCAAAGAAGCTGCGAGGCGGATGATCAAAAGTGCAAGAGAGGTAAACACCCCAGAAAAAGAAAGAAGGTTTATTAAGCCGATGCTAGGAGTTGTTTATATCCGCACTGCCGGCTGCAGATTTGTTTTAAAAGAGGCTTGTTACTAGGCAGTTGTTGTGTAATAACTAAAATCATCCAATCAAACAGACCTTTCTATTGACACAAGTTCAATTCCATGAAAATTCCTAAATCCTCTTTCATTCTTCCTGGAAGCAACCTGCAGTCCATCCCTATGGATCTGGAGAGATGGATGTTATTATAAATACAGCACTAGCGTGTTTATACTAGAGGCGATCTAAATGCTTTTAGTTTCTCAGAACGATAATCAGTTTAAAAGTGTTTTTTTTAACAGTCTAATCTCTGTTTTTTCTGAGATACTCCTGCAGGTGGAAGAGCACCTCAGGCCTGTGTAGAATCAGATGTGCCTCGACTTGCTTTCCTCTCCTACAAGACAATCTGTGTTCTCTGATTCATCACAAATCTTTAAACACACATTTTTCCTTTGATTTATGCCTTAAGGGAGTTGTGTGTTTCTGATGTCCTCCACTTGTAACTATAAGCAGGTTTCATATGGAGTATGGAAAACAACATTTCATGGTGAATAAGTATGGAAAACAAGCAAAGTATTTGAGTTTCCAGACTATTTCCAGTCATAGTTTTTTAAAATGTGCATCCTTTCATCAATTTAACATTATTCACTCATCCAAGAACTTCTTGCAAAGTTGCACTGGTCCTCCAGGATTTTAAAAATCTACTTTTTCTTATCTCCAGAAATCATGCAACCACAGTTAAATAGGTTTTACCATTACGATACTCCCAAATTTCTCTGTGACATTCAGCATCTTGGAATCCCTTAACTGTGGCAGACAGTATCAGGTAGGGTTTGGTAATTGATTGCATTGCAATATAATTGCCAAAAAAAAGGACGTTTTTAAATCATAGAATGATTAAAAAACGTAATGTTTGGCCACGTTACATTTAAAAAGAGTTGATTTGGTCACATTCACCTTTTTTGCAACTTTCCGAAGTATGGCATTAGAAGAACTTGATGTACACAGCAAAAATTG